TTTGTATGCACGACATGGGAGTTTCACGACAGTGTGTGAAACACATACTAGCACATATTTTGTACGAGTGGCAAAAAAGAACACAAGGGACGGCTACCTGGCTTCCGTGCAAAAAGCGAAAAGATTATAGGAGACATTATGGCCAAGAATGTTATGACTTTTCATCAGAAAGCACTGATTCCTTGAAGTTTAAAATCAAGTCCCACTCTTCAGTTTTGACGAGTCCTCTATGAAAGGTCATTGCCCTCATTTGACCCACGACAACTGAGCACCCCAAATCCTTACCCCAGCTGCAGGGCTACCTGAGTATTTGGGGAGGTGGAGCGGATGAGGAATCAAGTTTGGGTTTCAGAAAGCTCATATTTCACAATAAACTGAAATTCATATGAAATTAAGCAGTCTCTACAGGACTGGAAGGAGAAACTCATGCTACAACGGCCACCTCAACAATGGCTGAAGCCCGTCACAGATGACTGTTAGAGAGCTGAGAAAATTCATTTTTCAGGAGCATATGTTTTAAGGCTTGGATTTGTCTAAAGGCGTGACTTAAATATTGACGTTTACAGGATAGAAAAATGCTTTTTATGTCTTGCTTTCCCCAGGAATTCTGACTCCAATATTTAGCTCAAAACTTCAGGCTGCTTCAATACTGTTAAAAGTGAGCGGGTAAAACAAATTATTAACATCTGCAAATATTCTTTGACTGTTCAGCAAACACATTTTAAATATGCAAAATTTTAGCTGGGTTAGAACAGCACATTTATGTACATCTTGAACATGATTTTAAAGCTGGTATATTCTGTTTTAGATGAAGAAAGAGACATCTCTATAAACAAATAAGCAAACTAGCGAATCTCACTATACAATGAAGACTGCTTTTTAAAAGTATGTGCTTGAAAATTAGCATCTTAACATGGACAAAAATTGTCAGTACACTGAAATATCATTTAAAGATCCAGGAGAAAATATATGAGGAGAAAAAACAGAAAATTTTACACTTATTTGATTTTTCTCTAAAGAAAAACAAGTCTCCAGAGGGTAGCATGCAAGATGTCTTTAATGTTCCGGCTTGCTTTACACAGCAACAGAGAGCACAGAAATCAATTGAAAAGCCAGCTGGGTATGAGAATTAGTATTGTTTAAACACTGTCAAGTCTAATAAAGCAAGAGAGTCCTCATATTTGGTGAATGCTGCACCAGCAAATACATTGTTCAGTCAATTCAATGAAATAGAAAAAAACAAGACCACAAATTTGTACAGGAGGGTTTCATGGAAGCTTCTGCAGAAAACCCAAAAGAAAAAAATGATTGTCTTGACTTTCAAATTCAGGATAAAGAAAAAGCAGCAACAACTCATTACGGTTATCACTAGCTAAATTCAATAAAAATGTCTGTAACCAACACAGAAGGTAAAAATCAGACAAATAACAGTAAACCAGGAAGGACAGACAAAACACTAATAACCACAATATATCGTATTTTACATGCTCAAAATTAAATCCAGAAATGAACTGATTTAGAGGTCTCTTTTGGGACACTGTCAATAAATAGACAAACGTTTGCAGAACAAATAATGTACAAGAGCAGGAGCCCAAAAGCTGACTGCCCAAAGTCATAGAATCAAATTAAAAAATATTATTACGCGGAAACCATCCTTCTCCCATCATCACCAACCTAGAAACCAAAGTACTTGCCATGTAAAGAGCATTCAACCCTTGATGTCACTTGCCTTCACAGCAAGGTGCTCAACAGGACGATGACTGTCAGAACTACAACACCTGTGATGCAAGGAGCCAACAGAGAATAAGTAAAAAAGGCTTTTCTTGTGGGTGTAGTTTGTGGGGCAAGCTACTTGCTCGTTTGTACCCAATTTCTCCGTTTGCCAGACAAAGTAGCTCTTAACTGAGAAACTGGAACTTCTGTGGGAAGTGACTTAACTTCTATTAGTCCTTTAAAAAAAAGAAGACAATAATGGTGCTTGCTGTTAAAAGAAACCCATTCTTTTATGATATTCATCCTTCTGAACAATTACATAGAAGATGTTATAGGAAATGCTGTGTATTTGCACAGCACGAAGAAGGAGGTAAGTTTAAAATTCTTGTTTACGTTAAATAAGCCTGGAAACAGTTTACATTATAATCTTTGCAAGGTGACAAGAACAAGCTGAATGACAGATCTGTGACCGCATCCTGTGAAAACAGTCCCTCTTCTAATGAAAACCTTTAACACATGTTTTTATTTCTTTAAACTATACTATGCATTTATACATTTGCGATTTTATTCGTTGGTTAGACACACCACATAGTACTCTGAATATTTTATTCTCTGCTAATTTTATGTTTCTGTCACTCACACTATCACCTGAGTACTGTTAGGCATTAACTTGAAAAATACAGCCTGATTACACTAATCTCCTATAAAGCTATAGGATGTTAAAATATCTTTATTACCTAGTTTATAAACAACTGAGACCAACAAATGAGTGAACTATAAGGTTAATTGCTCTTATTAGCCTATTACCAAAACCATATGCTCTCTTCTACACGTTAAGGCAAGCCATTATACTCCTGCATCTAAGATCCCACATTGACTTTCACTCTAGTGAATTCTCTTGTAGAAACAAACAAAAGTTTCAGCTAGTCTTCCTGAAAGGTTTCACTCTATATACACCATAATAATTCATATAAACAACAAATAATTTAACATAATCAACTGCAGAAAGTACGTTTGTGCCCATTATAGCACCAGAACCTCACAAACCATTTCTTTTGGTTTGCACTCTGTCCTATTAGAATCAAATGCTAAATGAGTATGGTAAAAAAAGTAGTATTTTCCTTAATAGACTATGGGTGTACTCATATTTTCAGAAAATGCTCCCAACTTTTTAACTGGTACTCTATTCATGGTTGCATCAATCCCTGTTTCTCCCCCTTCAGGAAAATAGCTCTTCTCTTGACCTTAATTCCTATCAAACTGGGCAAAACACTCATGATAATGGATGCACAATCTTTAAGACAGATAACGTGGCAGTTGCTCCCTGTAATTAGACCCCCCCAACAGTTATTAAAATAAAACTTTTCCCCTGATTCCTATGATGGCTTTTTTCCTGCTCCTATGACAGCTTTAAAACCTATGGAAAGTATCGCTCCATGACAAAGTGAGAGGGGTATCTCCTTTTATCAGAATGACATAATTAGTACATTTTTAGAAACGCTCAACTTTTAAACTACAAAAGTTAAAGTAAAGCTCTGTAACATGAGAGGTCTCATTTTGCTGTTTATATGCAGATAAGCTTCCTTGACGTACTACAGCAGTAGAAAGGCTTTTCCTTTGAGTGATTAAACATACAGAGTAAGACCAACTACATTATAGTTTAAAAAAAACTTTAGACAATCACAACCTCTTTCACAGTTTGAATTAATTTGGTAGCCTTTAGGAGTATCTATGTCCAGATCTAGTATAAACTATGGAATTGGATGAAAAATATACATGTATAAACCATGTATTTTTCCAGTATGCCTAGGGCTAATTTTCAATATATTGTACAAACACTAATTGCCTTCTTTACACAGTTAATGTTTGAATCTTTCTTATGAGCTCCAGCTCATTGAAAAAACACATTGGTTGACTTTAGTTAAAGAGAACTTTTATGTTTGTGCAAATGATCTTCCTAAATGGCTTTGAAATTGAAGATACAGAGGAAATGAATCAAATTAATCAAGCGGCTTAGGGAGTTTTACATTTGGGCTTTTGGTTTTTAGCATGAGGGTCTCGTGTAGAAAAGCTGCCCAAGATTCTCACTGGTCTATCTCATAAATGACTTTTAGTCTCTAGATTCAAGTAATCTCACACAAATCTGTTCCCAAAACATGGCTGAGTTGTACCTTCCCAGCTGCTCATCACAGATGTGATTTGCCTTTAAAATGCTTAACTACGTCCCTTCTCAACTCTGTGACAGAAAATAGGACATTTTCTGAGTATGAGCAGCATAAGCAGGCAAACAGAAGACAAGTGGTAGCATGCAGGGCAGGGCACTCTCTGGGATGTCTTAGCAGAAAGAGAAGGGGAAGGGAAAGTAGTCAAATTGCTTCCAGAAACACAGTAAGAGAAAAACATTATTGTTACAAATTGGATTCAGGAAGGCAACACAATGCATCTGCTTAGACTACTGGCCAGGACAAAACACTACTAAGCTGTCACAATGACTAAATAATCTCATATGTGTAGAAAAGCACTATGCTGAGAACCAACCATTTTACTCATTCAACTGAAAAGATTATTGGGTAGGAGACAAGTCTTCAGAAACCAGGAAGAAATAAAGACATGTGACTGCTGATAACCTTCCAGAAGACAGGAGAGCACAGCTGCATGTGAAATGCAAGGGCATCTGCACATAATTTTGGGTCGTTGACTGCCCAGCCCACCTCTGATACACCTTCCAGCCTGGATATCTATCCCCAGTACAGCAGACTGTCACCAAGTTTAGATTTCTCCAGCACACAGCGCAGGCTTAGCATCAGGGAATTAATTTGAAAGGTTTCTCCAGGTCAACGTGGAGTCTCCTCTTGCTCTCCTGTGATTTACCCATGAGGACCCTTATGTCTTACTCTCTCAAGCTTCACTGAATCTCAAAGGAGGGGCAGATCAACAGATCTGGTTGATTACACCATATTCAAGGCTACATTGAAAAGATCTATTGAAAACATTAAAAGTAGCGTACTGCCAACACTATACAGAAATTGTCACATTCTTCTCACCCCATTTATCTGGGCACTTTCCTGCTTTGATACACTAATCACCCTGACACCTGTCTTTAAGGATCACCTATGTTCTTCTACATGCCCCACACGGAAGGCTGAACAGAAGTTACGGCACATGATTAAGGCTTGCAGGAATCAA